AATCAATCCAAATAATATACGAACAATGACAAATGAAATGTTAGAATTTCTTGGAACATGTGAAACAGAATTTAAAGCAGATTGTACATCAAATATGTTTTTAGCTATGGAACGGTAATGATCAATGAAAGATTTAAGTTATTATTTCTTACGAGGAAATTATTCGTACTGATACTCACCGTTTGACTTCATATTAGATTCATAACTAGACTAGAAAAATTCTAAAAGGACTTATATAAACAGGTCAATATCCTGAAAGTATCAGCTGAAAAGAATGTTTCTTTAACGAGATGTTCAATTTTCCAGTAAACTTGATTTCTGTAGCACACGATCATTTTTTGGACATTCAATATATTGACAAAGGAATCTTTTGTTGAACTGAAACTTTCAGGATATTCTACTAGTCACTCGGCCTATTTATAGACGAAGTTTCAATAAAACGGTCATAACTCGGCTCATGAATAGAGTCCACCGGGTCTAAGAATTTCTGGATCCGAATTCGAAGCAGCTCGATGGACTCTAATCATAAACACGAACACTTTTAAGTTTTTTCTTATCTTCTTGTGAATCTAATAGGAACTCAAACGGTGGATATCAGTTCGAGTAGTTTCCTCATTAGCAGATTTAATGTTATTAATAAAGTGATATACGTAGATGTAGGGGCAAAATTAGAATTCGATTAGAAACTCATTCATACAGTCACATGTTTTATTAAAAGTAGAGTGGAATGAGAAAAAAATTTTTAGTCATAGCACTCGTGTCAATAAGCAGCATGAGCAGCGCAACATCAATTTTTTTTTTGAAGAAGCAATAACATCCTATCGGTTAATCAAATTTTTCTAGAAGGAACAATTGTACAGATCATTTTGTTGGTGTGTCGCTCAAATCTATATAAATAGTAAAATTACGCGTAAGTTATCTATAAAATGGAGGTAGTTAGGGGAAGCAATAAATTTTTATTGCTACCCCACAGTTGTTTTTTTTAGGGGAAACAATTGCTTCCCCTCGCTACGATGACGCACTGCCTATGATAAGCAGTATAAATATAAATGTATGCGTCACAACCTAATAAAAAAAAATGTCTGAATTATGGTTCAATAATCAGTTACAAATACAATTGTAAATGCAAATACGCTACAAATCAATATTCATGTAAAAAAAAAATGGAAGTTTTTTGTCACATAAAATGTCATTTCAAGCGAAGTGCTTGTACACATATGAGTGAATAGACTAAAGTATTTACGAAAATAAAAATAAAAAAGACATCATTGAATCAAAAATAGTGAAATTCCAATTTTGCTTCTATCATAGACATTGAATGAGGTTGTATTGCTCGGATTAGTCTTGATTTTCTTCTCTCAAGGAAATCTCTTATGAATCGGCTTCCCTTATGTTTCATAGGCAAATGTCTTTTATGATTATTTCGATAGAATTAACACAGAACTATTGAAGTATAATAATACAATACTTATGAGAAGATAAAATTCAGGAAATAGATCGAGCGAGTTGAGTACATGTCTAGATATGTCACTGATAGAATTTCATATTGTATTACATATAATGACATAAGAATAATAAATTTATCTTGAAACGAAATTCAATCGTTGTGATCCTTATATCTTCAAAGAATGTGATTATTTAAGATTTTTTTTTTAATAGTTTTGCACCATCAAAACGATGGCATGTTGATCAAATGATTAAAGTTCTTACTACTGTATGTTATTCACTCTTGTGAAAGAAATTCTCTTGATAACATAATTGAATTAATGTTTTTTTTTTAAGGCTGGAAATTCTGTTCGTGATGATATTGTATCAAGTTTAATTGGTATTATATCATCATCATCTGATCTTCATGGTTATACAGCACGTCAATTATATAAAATAATTCGAAATGATATTACACAACAACCACTTGTTCAAGTAGGATCATGGACATTAGGTAATTAAAAACAATAATTCTTATTTCTGAATATATATATTTATTTCAAGGTGAATTTGGTGATTTATTTGTTAATGGACAATATGAACAACCACACGGTGAAGAACATATTCAAGTAAACTAAATAGATTTTGTATGAATTTAAATTTAAGTATTTACTAAATAGGTTACAGAAAATGAAATAACTGATATATTAGAACGAGTATTAAATTGGTCAATAAGTACAGTTGTTACACGTGAATATGCTATAAATGCATTAATGAAATTAAGTACACGTTTTCCAAATTGTTCAGAGTAAAATTCTTTTTATTATAATTAATTATATAGAATATTATTTTCTTTTTTTTTTTATAGTCGAATACAATCTATAATGACATATTATGCATGTAATATGAATTTAGAATTACAAACACGTGCTGTTGAATATACATCACTTTTTACTAAACATAATATAATCAGGTATTTGAAAAATTAAAACAAGAAAATATACAATGACACTCAAAATTGATTGTATACTTCATCAAAAAGAAAAAACTAATATATACGTCAGAATAAAGAACGACTCATCTTATAATTTCAAAAACAAAACGAATTTTTTCTCGTTTTTGCAATAAAAAATATTTTTGCAATATGTTTTCTTAACATGAATTTTTAGTGAAGTGTACAATCCATTTTAAGGACATTCTGTCGAATTTTGAACTTCTTTCATCCTCAAACACAACCGAAAACTGTGCTCGACAGTACGATCAATTTTGAGCGCCACTATATATAAAGCTAGCGACGGCAAATTATTGTATTTTCATTATTGTAATTAGAAACTAAAATTTGGAATCTATTTCAATTTTCCTTTTTCCTGAATACCCCATTTTTGAAAAAATCGACAACTGTTTTACATTGAAAGAAGCTCTTGAAAAAATGCTTGTAGTCTCTTTTAGGTAAAGCTATAGCTTAGTTCAATATTACATTTTGTGGAGAATTACTCTTTCTACAAAACTATTGACTTCGACAATTTTCAAAAATGACTTATAAAGTAAATAAAAACCAGTTGGACTATCATTACTTATAATTTTCTAGATCTGTCAAAGAGTCTCTCACTATACTTGAACAAAAACTAAGACAAAATTTCTAACGAGGAAACCTCGTCAGTTGTCTTCTCCCGATTTCAATAATTTTTATTGAATTTTTAATACGTCTATTTTGTAGAACTGTCTGATGTTTTAGATCGAACTTCGAAAATACGAGTTCTCTGATGTGATCACTTAATTAAATATCAATAGGAATCAAAAGTCTTATAGAATTTTGATTAGAATATTATGTAATATCGAGGAATGGAACTGGTCTAGGTTTTTGACGACCGGTACTGATACCGATCTGAAAAAAATCAGACCGACCGTCTTAAAAATTCACACTAGTATCGAACCACTGTTATCACTTCTAGCTATGATACAATATGTAAAACACAAAAAATTATGGAATTGTTTATGCGAAACGTATTCAAATTTATTTTTTTTATATAATTTACCTTCATGAAATTTTAACGAAATTTCATTATATATTTAGTGTATGATATCAATTAGGACCTATAAGAATATTGCACGAGTCTCGATTAGAAAAAGAGGAAAGTAGAAAAATTAGACCAATAGACCTGTTGGTCTGAAGTCCATACCGGCTCCATCTCTGGTAGTATCTATAAACAAAAATCTGTTGAAATTGAAATGGGACAAGTTCAGGAGGTTTTCTCGTAAGTCCATATTCGAAAAGAGTATCCAGCTTATAGCTTTTGACTCGTTGGAAATATTTTGTAGTGAATCAAAAGTAAATAAACATCTTGTCTAAAAACTTCCCGATCATCCGTTAGTAATAAAAAAATTCATCGTTTTTTTTTCATTTTAAGACCAAGTATTGTTGAACGTATGCCAGTTCTTATCAGTAATTCATCATCAAATCCAAATGCTAATGAACAACAAGAACAAATATATCAAGAAGAAAATCCATCAAATGATGCACAAATAAATCATGTTCCGCCGAATGAACCTGTGGTAAATAAATTCTTCTTTTTCTATATCACTAATATTGAATTATTGTTTAATTTTTTTTTTGTTAGGTTGATTTATTAAAACTTCTTGATGAACCTATTCAAACGAATGGATCTATTCATCCTCATGAACAACAACAAAATCCTTTATCATCAAATCCACTTACAGATTTACTTTCTGGTGATGATATATCACATAATCATTTGAATAATAATAGTAGATATTTTTCAAAAATATATTTTTTTATCTAGAATTTTTTTTTTTTTTTAATTATTTATATTAGTTATTCCACCAATGGTAGCATTAGATAAAAATGGTTTACGTATTGTATTTACATTTGAACGAGAAGATACACTATTAACAATTCATTCTAAAGCAACAAATGCTACACAATATCCAATAACAAATTTTATATTTAAAGCAGCTGTACCAAAAGTAAAATAATTTTAATATTTTAATTAAATAAAAAAAATCTATATTCATTTTTAGACATTTACTATTGAATTATATCCACCAAATAGTACAATAATACCAGCAAATAATTCTGGAGAAATTCATCAAATAATAAAAATTTTAAATCCAAATAAAGATAAACTTCGTATGAGAATTAAACTTAATTATTTATTTAATAATTCATCAATGGGTGATGAAGCTGAGTTAAATACATTTCCTGAACAGTGTTATAATTAAATTTTTTTTTTTTGTTGTTTATTTCTGTCTCTACATACACATATATATATACATATATTTATTATATTCTTTGATTGTGCATGTTTCCTTGTCATTCATTCTTAACATTGAATTGTTTTGTTCGTAGGATTCTTTTTTTTTAAGAAAAACAAATGTTTAAATTTACATCAGGCATCCATTCCATTTATATAAGAATTTTCAAAAAAAAATGATTTTCTTCTGTTTTTCATACACAATTTTAAAGAGAGAAAGAGAGTGAATATAATAATAAAATAAAATTACTTTGATTTTATTCATAGAAATAAAAAACAAATGAGTTAAAATTATTATTTTAGATGAGTGTTATTATTGGTGAGAAAGAATGAAGATATTTTCTTGATGATTTTTTTTTATTATTTTATTTAGGAGGAGGAAAAGGTTTTATTGGACAACGTTTGGTACAATTATTAAGAGAAAAAGGTTTTCAAAATATTTGGATTGTATCAAGAAAATCGGATGGACAAGGAAATACTTTAACATGGGTATTTATAATGAGTGCTATAAAATGAATAGATCGTTAATTATAAACTTGATATTATTTTCAAGAGATACTCTTGCATGAAAAGGTTTTTTTTTTTTTGTTATAAAAAATGATAAATTATGACGTTTGATAATGATATAAAACCAGCGGGATAAGAGCAACATTTGAGCACCAAATTTTACTACAAGATGCAGGTGTAGGGCGCACGTAGAATAGAGGACTCGCTTTCACCCACATTTACGTATAAGGTATCATGATCACTACTTTGGTATGATATTACTTTTAAGAGCAATATGATATAAACACCATCTAATAAAGCTTGAGGAGTAGAATGCAAAAAATATTAGGTAATATAAGCAGACTTATTTAGAATAGAGATATTTACTGATTCAAAAACATTGTTTTCCTGAAAATCATTTTTTTGAGTATACTATTTACGCGCGCAAACTTTTCTTAATAACGATTCAATATTAAAAGCGGTAATTGTTTCTATTACACAGCAGACAGTTAGGGCTAGGTCGTAATAGAGCATGATTTTAGAATTTCTCTTTTGATAAAATAAAATACTTAGATATTTGATTTTAATTAGCGATATTTTCATCACGAATTTGAGAATTGTTCGAAAAAACAAACAAAGACAAATGAAAAAATCGAGCTCTATTTCCTGTGTGAAAGGTATTTTTGATCAATGAATTGACAATAATTCGTGAGTATGTTGAATATTATAGGGACATATTTTACCCATAATCTATTCTAGTCAAGACTAACATTCTATGAAATTTAGGTTGAAATTAGATGAAAAATAAAAAAGTTTATTTTTGAGAAGAAGCCCCTTCAGATGATAGTTATGAGTGAGAATAAATTCTTTTCTAAGGTTAAGATCAAACATGTTTTTCATTAATTTCATATCATTCTATGACACTTTTTGTTTCTTTTGTATATTTTTAGAATTCGCACTCGAGAGAATAGAAATATAACTGCACATGTAGAGGAGCTCTCTAATAACATCATCTAATTTATTATTCTATTTGTTTTGTATTTTTTGAAAGAAAAGAAAAATATTGCATGAATAGTTCCTCTTGACATACTTTGTTTGCTATTCTTTCTTGTCTTGTCCTAATATAAGGATAGAATAAGCACATTTTTTTACTTCTTCTCGTGGACACTTCTGGTTGAGAGATATTTAGATATATTTCGAATTAACTTTGACACGACTATTTGGGATCCATGCGGACGCTAACCAGTTTCATCATACTGCACTGATAACATCAGTCAATCATACATATTTGTTCTTATTATGAGAGAACAGCTCAAACTATAATTGAGTACTGAATAATGATGCATGGTATCAATCATAGATGGAACTGGTCTAGTTTTTTGACTACCGGTACCGGTCTGGACAAGTTAGACTGGACTGGACCGATCTACCAGTGGACCAATATCGGACTGATAGACCGACCGGCTTAAAATCGGCACCACCACCGAACCGCTATTACTACTTCTAGTTATGATTAAATGTGTACCTCGGTTGTCAGTACCGGTTCCATCTATAGTATCAGTCGCTTCGAAAATAGAGAATGATAAAATCATGAAAAACAAACTTTTTTTGTTTGTTCTTCTGATAATCGAATCTTTTCTAGAGTTCTCACATGTCCATGATAAACTATAATAACAACATCCTGTGTTATATTTACTTTATTGATTGAATTCAGTGCGAACTTGAGATGAACAACAAATAGTAGCCTCAAATGTAGTCGTATTAAAGTTAATCTAGCAGATATATTAAAATCAATGTCCCTAATTTGGAATAGAATCGTTCTTTTTGTTTTTAATATCTCGATTCTAACTTTGGCAAATACTAAGACATCTATTCATTTCGTGACATTTAATATTATTCAAAAATTGATTTATATTTAAATTAATCCATAGGATGATATTCGTAGTGGAACTACATTGTCTTCAGTAAAACCAATAAAAGCAATTGTAAATTTAGCTGGTGCACCTTTACTTAGTTTTCAACGTTGGACTGATGCATATAAAAATGAGGTTGTTCAAAGTCGAGTAGGTACAACAAAGACATTTGTGGATTTTGTTAGAGATTTAAAAGATGAAAAACCGGAAGTATATGTATCAATGTCTGGTGTAAGTAAGTTTTATTTAAAAAAAAATTATTATTTCATTTTTAACAAATGTTTTCCAAAGGTTATTATAAACCAGATCCAGTTAAAGAATATACTGAAACATCTGAAGGTGGTGATTATGATTTTCTATCACGATTAGCAAGAGATTGGGAACAAGCATCAGAACCTATTGAAACAAAGTTTAATGTTAGAAGAGTTATTCTTCGTTCGGGTATATTAATTCAATTTATTACATAGAAGTTTGATTTAAAATTTGTTGAATATAGGAGGCGTACTTGGTTCATCTGGTGGTATGATTGGATCAATGTATTGGCCATTTTTCTTGGGTGTTGGAGGTAAAAACAAAATTCTTAGGTTCAATTTTTATTTAAAAATTTCTTCAGGTCCAATTGGTAATGGTCAACAACCATTTCCATGGGTTCATCTAGATGATGTCTGTTTATTAATAATATATGCTATACAAAATAATCATGTTAATGGCATTTTAAATGCGTGTGCACCAGAATTAATAACAAATCGAGAATTTTCTCAAACATTTGCTCATGCATTTAGTCCACCACGTCCAGCTATTTTTCCAATGCCTGCTTTTCTTCTCAATACTCTTCTTGGTCCCGAACGAGCCATTGTAGCAACACAAGGTCAAAAAGTGATTCCTCAGGCTACATTACAAACTGGTTATACATTTAAATATCCAACTATTAAGGAAGCTAGTCAAGATCTAACAAAATTATTTCGTTAATTTGATCAAAACTACGTCGTTTAGCATTAAAATTTTGTATTTTATTCCAGCTAATCATCATGTGTATGACTATATGATAATCTCCTTTGACTTTATTAATCAATCAGTTACTTTTTACAATCAGTAACATCCTATGTAGACATTGATACATCTTTGTCACTTTCGTTTTTTTTTTCATATAGATATTGTAGCATATTATCATATAAAATATTATATGTTATTTTTTTGATTTCGTATTCTTTCGTTCAACATGACATACGATTGTTGATAATACTTTAAATAACAATATATATACAAGCAAACAGTTTGAGTTTTTATTTCACTCATTTTCTAGCAAGAACTTCTTAGGTTTTTTTCTAAAGAAAAAAATTTTCAAAAAAATGCCAAATGTCCAGGAATTGGAATTGACTTGGGTACAATCTATTCAGCAAGTGAACAAACAACGAATAAAAAAGAATAATCAAATATTATATTCATGTTGTTTTTGTTAAATAGTGTATAGATGTTTTCTACGAAGGAAAAGTTAAGATGCAGCAAAAAATCAAGTCAATTCAAATCCATACAATACAATTTTTAACGTAGAACGTCTTATTGGACGTAAATTTGATGATTCAATAATTCAATCTGATATAAATTATTATCCATTTAAAGTAGTGAATAATAATGGAAGATCAAATATTCAAGTTGAATATAAAAAAGAAACAAAACTATTCACACCTGAAGAAATTCTATCAATGATTTTATTAAAAATGAAAGAAATAGCTCAAGCTTATGTTGGGAAAAAAGTTTCTGAAGTTGTTATAGGTGCACCAGCTTATTTTAATTATTTACAACGACAAGCAATAAACAATGCTGGTGTTATTGCTGGCCTTAACGTTCTACGTATCATTATTGGATCAACACTAGCTGGCATGGCTTATAGTTTTCATAACAAAGTTTCAAAAGAACAAAATGTGTTAATTTTTGATTTGGGTGGTGGCACTTGTAATGTATCTGTTTTAATAATAGAAGATGGAATGTATGAAATTAAATCAACAGCTGGTAGGAAGATTTTAATGAAATTTTAAAGGATTTTTCTTAAGTGTTGTTGTGCATGTTAGGTGATGCACATTTGGGTGGTGAACATTTTGACAATCGAATGATCACATGTTTTGTTCAAGAATTTAAAAGAAAACATAACAAAGATTTATCTGTTGATAAACGTGCTCTTCGAAGATTACGCACGGCTTGCAAGTCTGCTAAAGTAGAATACTTATGTTGTTTTTTTTGTTGACTATGAAAAGAAATATTTTTTTCTAGCGTACTTTATCATCATCTTTGCAAGCTTCGATTGAAATTGAATCTTTATCCGATGGTATTGATTTCTATTCGAAGATAACTCGTACTTGTTTTGAAGAACTTTGTTCTGATTTATTCCATGCAACATTAGAATCCGTTGAAAAAGCATTACGTGAGGCTAAAATGAATAGATTAGAAATCCATGAAATTGTTCTTGTTGGTGGTTCAATACATATGCCACAAGTATAAAAACTATTATAAGATTTCTTTCATGGAAAAGAACTTAATAAATCAATTAATCCAGATAGTGCTGTTGCCTATGGCGCAGCTATTCAAGCTGCTCTATCAACAGATGATAGATCGACAAATATTGAAGAAGTTCTTTTACTTGATGTTACTTCTTTTCATTCGTAAGAAAACTAAACAAAAACTTTCTTCTTGTCTAAAGTTCTCTTTCTAATTCTAAAGGACATTGAAGCACCTGCCGGTATTATGATACCAGTACTTAAATTTATTTAAAATATTACGGGTTTTTTTTTCTTTTATTCATTTTTTTTTAGTATGGTGAAAAAGATGAATATCAATATTAATTAGAAAAAATCAGAAACATTTGCAATTCACTTTTTACTAAACTCTCTACTGGATCTAATAGCATAGGTAATGACATACTTGTAGATAAAGATAAATCTTTATGGTCAATTATGGAGGTGAGTCTATTTTTAAAAAAGTTCATTTTATTTTCATTTGTCTAAATTTTATTAGGATGATGTCAAAAATAATGTAAAACAAATTCTATTCGAGATATCCTGTTTTTATTTATGTGCATTATCAACGTTCAGACAAGAGAATAATATGTGTTCCAATTACATTTTAAATTAATTTTTCGGGTAATTCAGCATTATTTAACTAGAAATATTATTATATTTTTTTTTACTTATGATTATTTAAAAGTAATATATGAAATAATCATGAAGAACGTTGGCATTCATTTGAAAATCTTTTAATCAGAAAAAAAGCTATTAACGCAATCCTGGGGAAGTAAAATGTAAAACACGATGGAGCCGCTGGTATTGTAAAAGAGGGAATTAATCAAGATCTATTTCTGTTTATGAATTCGTACCCATTCTGTCAATGCATGTCGATGTTGGGAAGATATTAATCATAATATACTGCAATGAGTATGACAGTAAAGGACAACTATCCTACTAATTCCACAATGAACTTTGATCTCGTGGTTATGTCAGTCAGGTCTATGTGTGTGTAGGGAATAACATTTCCATCGAAATATCAAGCTATGATGATAAAAAAGTGAGAGAACTTAGTAAAAAATGAGCGAAAATCCCTATTATTTGCGCATGTAAATACATGATTCAATTTGCTCAACATTAGAATGCAATAAGAGAACCAATTTGAATTGTATCTTGAACTATAGATTTGATGTCCCTCTATCTAAATCAAAGGTCAAAATCAAAATTTTATCTAGATAGAAAGTCATTTTTATGCCTTCTTTTACATGTTTCTCGAAAATAATTAGTTTTAAAAGGATTCCCTCTCATACATTATTGGAAAAAAAGACGTCCCACGATCTCCTCTTTCGAGTGATGAAAATCACAATTCTCTAGCTGCTTGCGTTCTCGAATTATTCAAAAAAAGTAAAAGACATTATATTTTGAAATGAACAATAGATTTAACTTGTTTCAGCTAACACCACACTAGTCCTATTCATTATACGTATCATTTTCTTCTTTATTAGACAAAAATTCAAGTCATTCACAGACGTTTTTTTTTTGACTTTTCATTTTTGCGTTTCGTGATCCATTATGCGAGGCACATAGAAAATCAAGTTGTCAAAACAACAAATACTATTTTACAACATTTCTATACGATTATGAATTCCATGTTGTGAAAGATTAGAATCCAAAGCATTTAAACTTATCAACAATTTAAATTTATCTTGTAATTTTGATTAATAATGAAATAAGTTCAAGAATACTTTTTGTTAACATGTCTTAATTTCAATCTATAGATGAACCATGCAGATATCGAATTTTATACGACCATTTACTTCAAGTACAATAAATCTCATAGGTTACATAATAGGGCATCAAAGTTTGATGAAATAGTGCAATTCTTTCATAAAAATTATTGTTGTTATTTTTCACAAAACTTATCGAAAATGATTTGAATATCTCAACCGACATGGATAGAGAGATAATCAAAGCATTAATAGAATATGCCGTCTATGATGGAGACAATTCTTTTCTTCGTTCCTTGTAATGAAAGAATGATTAACATTGATTTATCACTTATTAATATTTCAACCTCTACATCTTCATGCAAGAGAGTAATAGACTAAAACAGCGTTAAAAAAAATCTCCTTGAAAGAAAATATCTTTTATAAAATGTTCTGGAAAGATAGACCTGTGAAAAAATGTCTTTAATCATCAATATATCGTTTTTGGAAAATGCAAATCACAGCTGATGATAATATTAATCATATAGTATAATTTATTACAAGGAACTGAATTTTATTTTATTTTTTATTCACAATACAATAAAAAAAGTTCACGTAATGACTCTTGCACCATAGTTTAATTGTTGCATATTTATGTGAAAAATTAAATCATTGACAATGTTCAATTCATTTCGAATTGAGTGGAAGAACAACCATCTATTGTGATGACTTGTATGTACACATTTTCGAAATCTATGATTGTATCCTAAACAGATGCAACAGTCTTAATTACAGCATATAAATAACATATTGCCTTTGCATACCTTCCTGAAAATTGTCGGTTTTTTCAGGAATGTGAAAAACATTTCACATTGATATTTAATAAATTCAATCATAATTAAAATATTCGAATAAATCAACTAATTCTTTATGTTCAGAATCACTGAGCTCTTGTATGAGAGCAAAAAATAACGATGAAATAAGGGGTCTATAAGAAATGAAAGTTATCCAGATCTAACTTTCATATACAGCTATAAAAAGCCTTTATTTCGTTTACTTCCTGTAGAGCCTTTAGTCTTTTAAAGTAATTCATGCACTAAAAGCACTAAAGGGGGTAAAAGGAGTAAAGAGACTAAAAGAAGTAAAGGGACTAAACGGAGCAAAGGCACTAAAGATTGCTAATAATTGTATAGGAAAGTTAGATCAGGATAGTTTTAATTTTTCGTGGACCTATGTAACACTTTCGCTAGTATATCGCCAGAATTTATTAGTTCTGTTTTTATTAAAATTTTTCAATTGAAAATTATAACCATTAATAACAAATATTAAGTTTTCTTTATTTGATTTTGTCTTTGTAATGATCAGTTCAGCTGGACTCAACAGTGACAATAAAAGTTTGAATGATTGAGAATAGGATGAAGATGTTGTCTTATCCATTATAATTACGTCGTTCGATTCCATTAGTTTAAAAGTTTGTAGTTGTAGTTACTTATAAAATATGCTGTTAAGATAAATAATCTTATATTAATACAATTATCTTTCGTTCTTATTGAATATTTTTTGTATACGAAATCGTCTAAATAAAAATTTAAAATATCTGTCTAAGTTTTTTGAATTGCACTTTTTTCTACGTTCTAGTAACATAATACGTAAAGTATAAAAATTTAGCTTGAGGTACATTTTCTAACGAGGAACTATTTCTCAAGGACATTTTTTACGAGGACCAAAAATCGATGATATATTTGAGAGCATACTTTTCAGAGAATATTTTAGACTGTATTCTGCAAAGTAACCCGAACTTAACAACAACTTAAAAATCTAATCGTGATTGCTCGATTGTTTTCACAGTTTTTACTTCACCATTGTTCTTCATGAAGGCTCTCTTCGAAGAAAAAAATCATGATTGCTAACCCTACTTATTTCTCATCAGATGCATTGCATTCTTATGCATATTATTTTTTATTGCTGATTTTAATAAGAAGTAGGTCATCACAATACAATATTTTTCAATGTCAATATTCATCCCTTTTTTATGAGAAGTAAAGGGCATATCATGCATCAGGTTTGAAACATTACCATGATAAGTTGATGAAGTTTTTATCTAAAAAAACTTTGTTATAAAATTATTTCAATGTCGCAATAGTTGAAATCATCAAAATATCAATTCTTAGGAGACAAAATTCATCCTATGCATTTTTTAACTAATTTTTAAATAATTTTCAGAATTATTTATGAAAATGATGATAAAAATGCCATATTTTATTCTTTGAAAACGAACTTCTTCAGCCAAACAATATTATTACAATTTTCATATTCACATACTTTCCCATTAGGCATTTTTGATAGACCATTTTTTCTTTTCTTCTTTTGTTTAACATCTCTATAGAAAGAGGATTGGAGAGGGGGGAAGCGGGCGATAAAATATAGTACTGGATGAGTATTTTATTCTTCTATCAATATTAAAAAGTTATAAAAAAAAGAAGAGATGGAGTATCAAAAATGCCTAAATTGTAATCTGTGTGAAAGTAATAATAAAAGAATTTTTTCTTTCAAGAAGTTGTTTTTCAAACAGTGAAACATCACATTACTATGTTTTTTTAAATTTGTCAAAGTTGATTGATAGATTATTTAAAGAAACACGTGAAAAACATTATACCTACTAAGTCATGAAATTCCTGACAAGCGAAGTATTATTGGGTATTACTGTATTTGCTCTACTAATTGACAATAGATCAGAAAATACCTTTTTTTTTATGTAAACATATCATACCTTGAAAATACGAATGAATCAAATCAAAAGTCATTTAAATTGACTATCTAAATATCGATGAGTCTCATCAAAAAGCGCTATGGTAGAATGCTTCAATATGTCCAAATAAAGAAGCTGACAATTAGATAAATGGATGATTTCTTTCATCAAACTATTTTCTTTTTCTATTTTTTCTTTTCTCTGTTCTTCAACACCATCGCATAGAAGCAGCATAGAGAGTGATCCCCATCAACGAGACAAAATGGGTTACAAGAGAGAAATATCTCTCTCCGTCACGCTTCGTTACACAGCGACGGTCAATAACGAAATATCAGATGCGAAGGTTTTTACATTCATATCCTTGCTTGCAATGATGCGATACTTTTTGTATTCATTTTAAAAAGGAATATGGATATATGTGATACGAAGAACTGTGAAAGAAAGAAGGCGAGAAAATAGATATCTTATATAAAAGAAGTAAGCTTCATAGTTCACTTTAGGATTCATTTGTTTTTGGAACACGTAAACAATAGAAATATATCTCTCAGAAAATAAAACTTAATAATAGGAATCAATGTTGATAAAAAAAAATTAAACAAATATTCTGTTGGAATGGGTAAAAACCATTTTTTTTTCTATCAATTCAAATATGTCAAAATTTTCTACCTTGATCTGATTTAATCATATGAAATCCTTAGAAACTTTTATCTGATGCAGATATAATAAAATTACAAGGTTAGAAACAGCGTGAAACACTGAGCAAGGAGTATAAATCGTTTGAAAGAGGTATGGTCATGTCCTGAACAAAAATTTTTA